TGTGGTGTGTCTGTGTCACTCTGCAGTTACAACTCCAAAACACTAGTCGGTGATGGAGGACTCTGTTAAGTGCTGTAAAGTTTAGTTGATTCCAAACACACATTAAATATGGCTTAATAGAGACAGTTTGAAACACAAATACACAAATTGGCTTCACTATAAATTGCAGAACTGACAGACAAACACTTGTCTTTATCTGGACACATTTCCCCCACCAATACAACATGCTAACGTTATTAGCACAAGTCTATGGCATTTTACATTGTATAAATTAGCCTAGCATCTAGCGATCTTTTCCTCTTCTCATATAAAACCAGGGACAACAGCAACATTTATCAAAGGTAATGGCACATAGTTTGGCTCCATTACAACTCAGAACATTCACCGATAAAACAACTGTCTTATACTAAACACGCTTCCCAAGCAAATACAACATGCTAACGTTATTAGCGCCAGCCTATGGCATTTTACATTGTATACATTAGCCTAGCGACGAGCAGAGATTTCCTCTGCTCATGAAGCCAGGATAAATCCCTGAAGGATAAATCACACACAAGACTTAAAATGATATTTTAGTGGAGGCTTTACTGTCTTCACAATTTTGTTGTTTCTTATCTGTGAAATACAAGTAAATACAAGCTCCTTCTCCACTGAGGGAAATGGTTTCGGTATCCACCTTATTTTTCATGGACACACGGAGGCAAAACAGAACGCAGCCAGCTTCCGTTTTTTTGTGCGACACTTCCGGTCCAGCACTCTTACCACTGTGTAAATGGGAATCGCCTTGTTGTTTACCTTGCTGAGTTTAGCTATATATATGTATATATCACATTTTTCACGTCACTATATCACCGTTTAGACTAATCTGATGTTTGTAAAGTCTATAAACACAATGACTGAACAAACATTAGTATTTTCTCTGTGTGTAATTAATAACATGGTTATCGTAGATTAGCTGGGCTAACCGTTAGCTGTTAGCCGTTAGCCGTGTCTGTAATAACTCACTAAACTCACAAAGTGGCCCGTGAAAAAAATATTTTCTCCAGCGGATGTCTTAGTTACAACATGATTGAGCTAACTGGAGTAGTTTCATGTCGTATCCGACAACGGGAGGCTTTTAACGGATGACGATCCTGATGTTAGCTTTGCTGCTAGTGTTAACGTTAGCTGTCCCTGTCAGCTGCAGCCACTGATGCTTTCTAGACATCGTGATTTCCCAAAACTGAATAAATACCACACATAGCAACACAAAACTGCTTTGCTAGCTCAATCATGTTGTAACGGCTGGATGGTTGATGCGTACATGCTGATTCAGGTGCTATCAGAGCCGATCCGCGCATCACTATGGCTTAATGATCAACTCAGTCAATTAAAACAACCCGTCCTGTGTTAGGAGTGTATGTCGCTGACAGAAAGAAAGAAAGAAAAGGGAAAAAAAGATAGAAAAGCAGCGTACACCTCACATATTTATTTCTCACAGTTGCGCACACGTGTGGCTGGCATGCAGAAGCACCGTCTGTGTGTCTGTGTGTCGAGGGTGCGAGCCGCAGCTTCAGCTGCTCAGGTAGAGAGGCTGTGTAGCCCGGTGTGTTTTTTCGCTGATTCGGTTCTGCAGGTTCTCTGCTGGTACACTGGAGACGGGGATCAAGCAGTTTGTCTCACTCGGGATAGATTGTGCTTTTTTGGTTCATAGTTTATGATTGACCTGCGATTCATTCGCGTTTAGACGGAATAAATTTCCGTTATAACGGAAACGTGGGCACAGTTATCTAACGTTATACAAAATACACAGACTAACTAACTAACTAACTATCTAACTGATTGACTAACATAAACAACTGAAAATTGAAAAAAAATTAGCTTGCACCGTTAGCTCCGGTAAGGGAAAGCATGAGGGAAAGCGGCTGACCGGAAGTCACGCACAAAAAAACGGAAGTTGATCACTATTTACTTCCGTGTTTGAAAATAAGGTGGATACAGAAACTGACAGGGGGGCGGCGTGGGCGAGTTCAACTTTCTGTCAACAATGGAGGTGTTTTGAAAACACCCCCATTTTCACAGGTAACTTAGCCTGTCCCCCCGCCACAGGAAATAATGGATTAATCCTGGAAAGCTGTTGATGGAGCACTTTTCTCCTTATGAAAGTAACACAGTGATTATTCAACCCATGAGAATTTGGTCGGATTAGAGCAGAGCGACCAAATAATTGACTAGTCAACCAGGAGACTACAGCCCTATTTATTTGCAGCCAAATGTCTGTAGTAGACTGAAAATGCAATTGATTTTATGCCACACAACTAAATAATACCTGTAACTACTGCTGAGTCATTTGTCCTCAGAGTGAAAGCCGATTGTAACCTTTCCCATTAAATACCAAAGCCAGATGTTAACAGGTGATAGTGTTTTTTGTGTAGTGGGAAAAGGACTTTAGACACTAGCTGGTGCAGAAAGACATCAATTCAGTGCTAAAAGGAAAGAGAATATCAAACTAAGATCCATCATGTGAAAATAAACACGACTCTGAATGTATGACCATGTTGCTCTTAGTCTGCTGCATGTGTCAACAGGTAACATGTCAGTGATGTATTTACAGCTTGTAGTACTGCCACAAATGGCCAAAAAAGAAATCACTGAAGGTTTAACAAAAGACACTGAAATCCTGAAACGGTGACACAAAGCAGTAGTATGAGTAGCCTACTTTGTCTGAAAAAAATGTAGTCTAAAATTGGCAAAAATCTGTATTTAAATCAGGAACTGATCAAAGATAAGAGGACAAATAATGTGAGCTGACACTTACTGCTTGATACTGCTTGACAGTAGTGGTGGGCAGATTGATACCAAAATATCAATTGTATAGATACTACATTTTCATCTTAAAGATTGTTTCTAGCATGAATAGGTTTGATACCGAAAAAAAGGATTAGTTTCTCTTTTCTATGTCGTACCTATTTGGATTTCAAGCATAAAACTGTGCAAACAAAGGTCCGTTTTCATGAACACATCTGGTGCATGTACTGCTTCTGCACTGCTTCTGTGTTGTCTGCACTTAAACATATGCATTGCACACATGCAGGGCACGCTACGTGCAGCCTGACTAATTTAATCCCACAAATAGAAGTAGATGGCTAAATGGAAAGGGAAAAAACACAAAAAGGAGACTTGGAGCTAAAACAGAAAAGAAGGGGGGAGGAGGGAAATGCCTCAGCATCCAGACCTCTGACACAAAGACAGAGTTCACTGACAGAGTCCATTCAAAGAGGCTCAGACAACAAATATCCACATAGTGGTGACATTAATATTTTAGTCAAATTGGTTCTTCAGCATTGCTTAAAGCAATATTTTCAAACTATTACTGGTCAACATTAGCTGTTATTTTCGCACACTGATTATTCACCTTATAAATCATGACGCACTGCTTTCCCACTTTTAATGATAACAAGTATCTATAGGTATCATATGGCACAATATTGGTGATTCTGGCCCTGTATTACTTAGTATCTGATCAAAACCAAATTTTGTGGTATCGCCTACCCCTACTTGACAGTTTTTGACACATTCCAATCTATACAAAAAAAGAAAAATCAATCAATCAATCTCTATATCCAGATCATGTGCAGAGCCTTTATTCAGCTCAAGTGAAAAGACAAGCATGCCTTTGTATTTAGAAACAAACTAATTTCTCCTGTTATATTTGGTGCTATTTTAGTGTTGGGACAATGGGTACTGATGTTATTAAATGTCATTTATGATACTCTACATGTGCACTGTCCTCTTTAAATAAAAAAAAACATAAAATAATGTTGCAGTCCTTAAGATTTCAGTCCTGGCTGATGTGGACACAGAGGTGGTTTCTGCAGGTGCCTCCCAGAGTTCCTTTCAGATCACACATGCATCAACCACTGAAGAGCCCAAGCACACCTCGAGCAGTCAGAAATGCAACACATACATCCATTTACACTGCAACCGAACAAACAGTGGACTGCCAGGAAAAGGGTTTGAAGTAATACAAATTTTAACAATTAAAACGTAATTGAAATGCATATCTTCCTTTTCTGTGTGTCATATGAAACACCTTTACCCTTCCATAGAAGGGGGAGCATCTTGAGGTGGGCACAATGTGCCGAAACCTTAAAAATAAAAAATAAAATGACTGCTTCAGGGTTTGGGATATTGAGTTTCATTAATAGCAGCTTAATGTTACAAAAGCATGACAATTTGAATTTACCAGAACGTGTATGACACGACTCTGTTGATGTCCAGATGGATTTGAAATTATGGAAATGTGTGTGTTATCTTAAATTTACTATCCCAGCTATTAAAGTACAGCTAATATGTTTTTCCCCCATGTATTTTATATATTACAGACTGCTCCTTGGCAACTGTTTAAGACTTTCATTTATCTGGGAATTTACAGTGTTACTGAATTATGTGAGGAAAACAGTGTAGTGTGGAGGAGAGTTGTGACTCTCGTTTCATGAGTGCATCTACAGGAGCTGCATGTTTGTTTCTAGAATTTAAATGCACCCAGGAGGAATTGGGTCATCAGTCATGACCTTAAAATTATTAAACATTGATATTAATGAATTACTTATTTAATATATGACAAAAGTTACTGAGTTAATAGAGTATTTTTGTATTCACAGAGATATTTAGGCTTCATTTCAAATAATTATTACGTGTAAGTGAAAGCATGGGGGAGGTGTGTGTGTGTGTGCGTGCTCTGAGGGGGGTTTCTGAACATGGCTCAGCGGATAAGAATGTAGCTCAGTGAGACCTTATCCAACACACAGGTCACATGGACCTGCCTTACACACGCGCGCGCAAACACACACACACTTTAATGATCAGAGACATGCACATAATCCATCAAAAGCAGAATAACAGTTTCAGATTTAACCTGCTCTCTGTTCAGTGTCATCCGTTCTGAGTCACATCTGGGACTGAAACACAAACACGCTGCTTCGTCTTCCTCAGCGACATAAAATAGAAATGTCCCTCACCTGTGTGTGTACTTCTAACGGTTGTTACTTCCACTGTTGTTCTGAGCCGCGAATCACTCCATATCCTAATCCAGAGGATTTGTAACCCATTCAAAAATCCTTCCAGAAACAGAGAAAAGAGATCTGCATTTGCCTCCAATTCCAGATGGTGTGTGTCTGTGTGTGTGTGTGTGTGTGTGTGTGTGTGTGTGTGTGTGTGTGTGTGTGTGTGTGAGAAACACTCACATTAACAGCTCTGCAAAACTGTCCTCAAACGCTCACATAAACACACACGTAGAAGAAGACCGAGTGAAGAAAAGAGCCAGGTGTTGGAGCAGAGACACGGTGTGAGCCTGCAGAGCTCCAGAAGAAGACGCTGAGTCCGTGCAGAGTTCACCCCCAGGACGGTGCACCTTGCCTGGGTTGGAGGAGTGAGGACGGTGCTGCTGTCAGGACGTGTCTGTGGTGCTCAACAGTCTCGTCTCTGTGTGTCTGCTGTTCATTCATGAGCCTACCGGTGTCCGCTGTGAGGGAGCACACACTCTGCTCACTCTGCTCTGCTCCTCCCGAGGCTGGCTGCAGCAGCACCACCCCCCATCAGGATAAACCCCGCCCCTATATGGTCTCAGCCAATAGCAGAGGATGCTCCCACTCTCTCTTTCTCTTCTCGTCTTCCATCTCTCTCTCTCTCCCTCTCTGAGACAGTTTGGCGACATGGACAAAGGCTCAGCTTCTAACCGGGAACCAATCACAGATATTCCACCTCTAATAAAAGCAGAGAGCCACTCACTCAGGCTCAGTGAGGTGGAGAAATACCTCTGTTCACATCTGACTGAAGTGCATTAAAGAGATTTCACAGCATTTCAAAACCCCCATCACAACCTTTGGTCCAGTACTATCTTGCACACTTTGATCAGGAAATCAAAGGACCAAAACTCAAATACTTTTGTCAGGAACTTAGAGTTACTTTAGTGCGTTAAAGCCGCTACAAGGAACTTTTAACTGTATATGCAAAAGTCTCTCGTTTCTGCTGCTGTCTGTGCATGACCTACAACAGCAAATGAGACCATCGGTGTGAAGATAAGCTATTTCTGTATAGTGTATATCCATACCTTTAGGAAACTGTGTCCGGGTCCGCACCAGGTCGCTTCCAGGACAAAACGATTTACGGCACTCAGACGGCACATGTCATCTTACCTAGCTGCTTACATTTATAGTGACTCTTATAAATAGTCGCTATTCCTCCTCCTCGACCCGACATCCGCGAGGAGTTAAAATAGCAGCAATCATCGGGTAAAAGTTCTGTGAAAGCACTGGACTCACCAACAGTCAGCCACGTCTCAGTCACACAGAGAAAATCCAATCCTCGGGAAGTCAGGAAATCCTTCAGGATAAACGTTTTGTTCGCTAGCGATCTAGCATTTACCAGCCCAATCCTGGCAGGAGCCGGCGGGTCCACGGCGTTAGCTGTCCGCAGGTTGCGCAGATTCACCCCGCGCCAGCGGGGACGAGGAGAGCAGGGGCCGCGGGGCTGGAACACCTCATCCGGGCAGACAACAGGTACCAGCCAGGCGTCGACAGGGTCCAGCAAGTGCTGAGAAATAAAGAGGTGAGGCACCGCTCCATACTCAGTCCAAGAAGCCATGGAAGTGCTTGCCAAACAGGCCTTCAGCCTTACCAGCAGACCGCTGCGTTTACCCAGGCAACGGTGGCGCTTATGCCGGAGAGGTGGAGCTGTGGCATGGCAGAGGTGAGGAGGTGGGATTCCCAATAGGAGCGGGGGCAAAGTTTTCCCATCTTGTTGTTTCATTCATCCCCAAAACAAACACATGCGCGAACCAGGTAAGCGTCTTTATGACAATACGCGCTAGAGCTCATGGGAAATGTAGGCTTCATTCCGGCAAAACACTACCACTTTTGTCCACAGGGTTGCCAAAATCAACTCAAAATGAAAGTAGTAGTCTGTAGTCTGTATTCTTCATTCAAAAACAGAAACTTAAGACCATCTTGATGCTACTTAGTCAGTAAGCACATTTAAAACACAATCCTATGTTGAAAGAACAGAGCATATTTATTGTGCACCAGTGAACAATAACACAAACCATCAGGAAACGTTTCTGCTAAAAGGCTCAATGGCTGAAGAAAAATAATCTTATCTTATGTAACAAGTTTGTTTTGGTCTCACTTCCTCTTGACTTTAGGTTTTTGTTTACTTTCCTCACTTCTGTTTCTCTTCTTGTGTGCTGAGCTGAACTGCCAATCAGAGTGATTTCGTTCAACGACGGGCTCTGTTGTTGCCGATATAACATGCTGAATCTGCCCAAAAAACAGGTTGACAAGGGGAAACGGTACGTGACACACCGCACCAACTGAGGTGACATTCGCTCATCAATGCCCCAACACTGACCAATGGCCAACCGTCAACTTGGTGTGTCAGGGCCTTGAAATACACTGTTTTGGCTGCTTGTATCTGTGATCTCATTCTTTTGGTTACTACCCAAACCTCATGAACATAGGTGAGGGTTGGGATGTAAATGGACCGATAAACCGAGAGCTTTGCCTTCTGGCTCAGCTCCCTATTCATCATGACAGTCCAACAAAGTACCCACATCACTGCTCACACCATGCCAAATGGCCTATCCATCTCACACTCCATTTTACCCCCAGTTGTGAACAAGACCCCGAATACTTGAATTCCCTTAGTTGGGGCAATAACTTACTCCCAACCAACAGGGGGCAATCCATTGTTTACCAGCAAAGAACCATTGCCTCAGACTTGAAGGTGCTGAAGGAGACACAGTTTCTGCCTGAATTACATTCCGTAGCCAAGTTTTCAATCAAAGAAATTCAACATCCTTAGACTGCACAGGAGTCACTAGGAGGAGGTGGAAGTGGACAGTAGGGTGAAAAAAGCATTGCACCTTGACAACAGACCTTGACAACAGAGAGCGTGATTCAGATCCTGTCTCACAGTTGTTTCTAGGTTTCAGCTATTAAAACATGTTGGTGAAGATTTGGGAAAGGTGATTTTGGTGTTTCATTTTGTGCTTGAAATAAGCATTTGTACATCTCTTTCTACCCTTTACCAAGTCCTGTGTGCAGTTAAACACAACCATAAAGAGATAAATAATGCTTTATTTATCAGGAACAGACACTGAAGGAAAAATAAATGAAATACTGGCAATGAACAATTTGCAGACACAATCAATACAGAAGTTGATAGAAAATGAAATCCAGGAGGCATTTTATTCCCTACAAAAAATATTTGCTGTTGCAAAAAAAAATGTGTTTTTAGGAGGCATTATTATGATGTTTGAACAGATGTATGACAGAAAATGTGCAGAGATAGAAAAACAGACTGAAAAAAGACATCTGTTTTCTTATTATCTGCAGTTGCTGTTTTGGTTATTTATATGTGTTCCTGGTCTTCATGTAATCATTTTAAAACTTAAAAGTCTTGTGTTTGTTTTCTCTTGTGCTCACCCACTCACATTTATCTGGCTGGTTTTTAGACAATACAAAGCTGGCTATATAACTGCTGTTACAGATCACCATGTATATAATAAATCATTTATCCATGTGACAGCCATAACTTGTTTACAGTCTTGAGAAGCCTGAAGAATAAGTGTGTATGCAAATTTGTGTATGTTAGCGAATCAGTATCATTCTAAAGTGACAGGCACTATATGTGTTTGTTGGCCTAACACATAGCCACATGCATTTTTTTTGCTGCAGGAAAAAAATCATCAATTCACGGTATTGTACTGACATAGGCCACGTTTCCCAGTTAAGATCGATCTTAAGACTTAAGAGCACAGTTAAGAACGTCTTAGTCAAAATTAGAACCCTGTTCCAGCAGTCAAAAAGAAGGAAAAGTTTATGATTTCATAAAATCCTTGCAAGCTTCAATGAAATATTCATAAAGTTAGTAATACTGTTGAGGTACAGTATATATGCAAATACAGAGAGTGTAAAAATTTAAAAGACATGAACATCCGGCATCTTTTCTTCAGCCCTGGGAATATTGTTTGAACTACAGATAGCACTTCCGCATTTTGTATACCTGACACCATGGGACTTAATATGTTTTCAGACACACATTTTTTACGAGTATTTATTGTTCTGGTGTGTCACAGTGCATTCTGGTAGCTGTAGGTTTGCCACCTCTTGAGCAAAAATTAATGCCACAGCCCTTTTTCTCGGTTTTAACTTTCAGCACCCATGCTTGCATTTTAAAAAACGTTTTCTTTTTGAACTTACTACATACTGACAACACTGTTAGAGTTAGTAGACAGTTTGCAGTTGGAACATTTCTAACGTGTGTTTAAAATACCCTTTACATGACCTCTGAAGATATATTGACACAGTATAGTCAATAATTAACTGTGTAATATTTTGTCTGAGTTTACTAATTCAACAGTTCAACCATGCACACATAAAACTTTTAGATTATGTTTAACTAATATCCGGACTGAAATCAAGCTTTTAAGAAAACATTCCTTTTTGTGGTGATACTACAGTGAGACACACTAAGTGGATCAGAAACATAAAGTGAGCCAGAGTTAGGCAAATTAGTGTCACTAAGACTAACAATCTCTAGAGTGTGCCAAGACAAACAGAAAACCTGCAGAAACATGAGATTGTGGACAAGCAGTCCAAAGTGTGAGGACACTGCAGAGTCAAATGTTGCTCCTGCAGCTGCAGTCTGAGAGCACAAATCACACTTCAGCTGTCAGCTGTAGATAAATCTTATCTCTGTGAAGCACAGGAAGCATTCTAACTCTGCCTTAAGATCTTTTCATATTCAGTTTAAGATCAACATGGGAGCTCTTTCAGATCTGAATAATGCTGTTTGTATGAAAAATGCATCAGAGTGAGAAAAGAGAGCAGAAGCAGTTTTTTTGTCATCAGTTTGGCCCTTTGGGGGACCATAAGCAGAGTTCTTGAGACTGTGGACGGTCACTTTTTTAAACAGGTGAGAGAGTAAATAAACAAGAGCAGACACAGAAAAGCCTCAGAGTAAATAAAACTGTGAATAATGAAACCTACAAGATAACACAAGTACAAACTGTTATATATGTACACACACACGCGCGCGCGCGCACACACACACACACACACACACATCAGTGGCGGCTGCTGGTCTTTCAAACAGGGAAAGCTCACTTTAAGTTTACATCATAAACTTTGTCATATTGTAGCGAGGCAGTAACTTATAAAAGGAACATTTAATTGAAGCTGTTTTTTAACCACACTCATGCCATCGAACCACAGCAAAACACACCTCAAAGATTTTCAGATGGGTTTACGTAAACTCCTGAACTGTGTCGACACCACCAGAACTGATTTTCTCTCAAAATAAGTTTCCCTGAAAGGAGCAGCACCTTAACACTGGCCCAGGTAACAAACAGTGCTATAAAGCAGCTCCACTCCCCACACCGTGTGCCACTTTTCTCAGCTAAGAACAGGAAACTGAGGCTACAATTCACACGGGCTCTCCAAAGTTGGATAATAGAAGATTGGAAAAACATTTCCTGGTTTGTTGAGTTTTAATTTCTGCT